TTTAATTATGCCTAGATACAATGTAGGTTACATGGATTTCTGTAGATGAAAATTTACATGGTACGGATGACCTAAAGGATTACTTTGTCGGGGATTGCTCACGATAATGGTCTGACTTCATTTTAACAGTGTTAAGGTGATAGCGTACAGTAACCAGAAATAACAAAAGGGTACTGCATGAACATAGCTATAGGAAAGTGTTGCTTACTATTATCTTAGTCTGTACTAAATTCAACATATCGAAGCGGCATTACAGCATCGGGCGAGAAACAAGTAATTTATTAAGCATAACTTACAATAGAGCAGACGGGGAGTATACAATTATATGTAATCTCTAATCTATACCTGTTTCACAGAACAGTCCAGAAAAAGTAGATAAACAGCTACAAGTACATGTTTCCAGTAAGAGTGTTCCATTGTTATAACATTTCACAGCAGGACAATCTAGAATGTAATCATGATATGAAAAATCTACAGAATCGCTTTTAAATTTCAATAGTTAATTACATTCATCATTATCCATGATAGAAACTTATTTTTTTTCATATCGATGGACTACCTGCACATAAATAGACTAAGATTATGAAGAATCATAACAATATGTTTAAAAAAATACATTATATTGAAACCAATTAATTTAGTTCGCTTACACTCCGCATAAGTTCTAGAAATATATGGCATTGATTGGTATGTATTATAAAGAATGCATACTATTGGACCTACTTACGTTTTGTTTTCCATTACCTGCCTTATATACATGTAGATGAACTATATTTCCAACATGACATTTAAAATGAAAAAGTTTCTGAAAGGTTTTTTTTTTCCCGTAGCAAACCGAAGACGACATCGCATCACTATATCTTAAATATCTATATAACTTTCTCTGAAATAATCATCAAGCATTATATTCATGTATATAGCTGTTGTCAACGAGAATCTTTACAGCTTTAACAATCTTCTCATATACTTCCAATCGTCCACTCGACCAATCGAAAGCCCCGCCCCAACCCCCATCCGATTGCATGTCATCCCACACGAGTGTCGGCCAAACCGCCGTACACAAATCAAAAACCGGATATCCGTCGGAAAAAAACAAGTTAAAATTATAAGAGTTCATGTTTATGTTTATGCTATCATGAAAGCTATTACGATGTTATTTAACCAATTTAAAATGCATGTGTAATCAATTAAAACCATTATTCATGACCATAAGCTTTAACTTAAGGCTAAAAGAAATATAAACTCATTCTTATTGTACAAAGTAAAATTGAGAATGGAAATGGGGAATATGTCAAAGAGACAACAACCCGGCCAAAGAGCAGATAACAGGCGAAAGGTTCATTATTAAATCTAAAAGGTTTACAAATTAATAATTCACACAATATACCTGTAAGCATTTCATCTTATTAGTTGCGTTTTCCTTTTCTTTTTTCATTTCATTATGAAACTTAACTGACATTATCAAAATTTTTATTATGTAACAGAGCTTGTAGTTTTGATTTATTTGTGTATATTGTATCCAAGGTGACAGATTAACATAATCACTTTTTGCTTGTTTCTGAATCCTATTTGTGAATGTGAATATATAATGTAATTTGTATAATTCCTAATGGAATATTGTTTACACTAAATTACAGCTACATATTATGTAAATCAATAATCAACACAAGTGAATTAACTGGGTACTGGGTTGAAATAACATTTCGGAATCTCTCACTATAGAACAAATACCTAGTCTACATTTTTGTACCTACATCATAATTGCGTCTTGACTTACGAATCAGGTAAGGGGTATACAGTATTACGTGTGCAATTTATAATGGCTGAGAAGTAAAATTTGTGTATTAATGAGAAAAAGGGAGGGACCGGTTACAAAATGAGACCGCAACCCAAGAACACAAAAAAAAAAAAAAACAAAGAAAAAAACCAAAAACAAATTTGGTTGTGTCTACATACGGTCTTCAACAAAAGTCAGGTGTTCACGTGTAAATAAAAAAAAAACATTTAGTACAGTTTTTATTTTTATCTTTTTCAAATACTTTTATTGACTTTTCTTGAAACAATATGTTGTTTGTTCCCTGGACAACTGTATATAAAACCGACGTATTTATCCTGGTCATTGGCTTAGGGTTTCCCACTGCCTATGCTTGGATAAAAATAAATAATTCAAAGGTCTAAATAGCTTCTGAAATTTCTTTTGTTTAGGTCAAGAAGTAACTACATGTACCATTATTAGACTTGTGCCCATCATATAAATTATACATATACAAATACTGAATTATAATCATGTAAATTTGGAACATGGAAAATGAAGTGGAATTGCCTGAGGCATGATCAATAGTGTAAAGGACAAAGAGTCATACATAATTTAATTGGACCAATTACTGTAACAGTATTCCTAAAGAAGGATGAATTGTCATAAGTTTATAATGTAATAGATGTATGAAATTGCTGATGTGATGTATGTATTGGTGCTTCTTACATACAGTTGGTTGTATGTCAAATGCAACATCTAATAATAAAGTAAAGTCATAAATTCATAATAAAGATGCAATTGCAATATCCACTAGATCCTTAATGATATTCCTGGTGTTGTTGCAACAGATTAGCGTTCAAAAATCGTATTATATATCGGGTGATTGTCCAAGTAATCTGGAGAAAACGACACATCTGTAACACTATTAAATATGTTGCAATTCTGTTGATTGATTGATTGTTGCTTTCTTAACGTCCAGTGGCAAATATCACATGCATGTTCTGGACGAAAACAAATTAACCATAATACATACACTAAGTAGGTTGTGTAGAGGTAGGATTCGACCGGGATGAGACGGCAAATTCAGACTGCCACTATGAAATGAGAGCCTCAGGGCAGGTTGGATACGGAAAGAAATTTTACTTTGTAACAGGCCAGCTACGGATCCCTCAATAAGTTGTTGCAGGGTTCTTTAACGTACAGAGAGCGTGACAAACTGTATACATGAGGCATCGGGTAACTTCATTATTTATATATCAAGCATATACAAACGGACTCCTCACTTTGGTAATATTTTTACTACAGGGAGACCGACTAAATCATGGCAAAACAATTAAAAAGGTAAAAATAAATACAGCAGTCTACAAAACATTACACAAAATACTAAATACTGAGCAACACGAACCCCATAAAAACCGGAAGTGATATCAGGTTTCCAAGGGTACAAATTACGAACAACATGTAGCAAAAGAACTGTCAATTTCGGCTAAATTACAAATACAATTAAACTAGATATAGTCAATAACGTGTTGTTCCCAATCCTATATCATAACAATGAATAAAGTCATCAGACCTCTTTTAAATAATATGGAATTTTTAAAACTTATTAATAATTTTGGTTACACAGTTTTGAATTATATACTTATATTCCTCAGATAAAATCTAACTATAGCTGATGCAGTAATGTTGCAAATACTACAAACTTACTTCAAGTTGGTACTTCTGATCTGAGCAACTAGCTGTTACAAGCAAAATATGCCCTCCTATATCAATTCTATATATTTTCATTCAAAAGAAACGTTAAACAAGAGTGTTATTGTGGTCCCAAGTTTGAAAGCTTTCGTTCAATACCATTATAACCAAGTAATTTACTCATTTGAAAAGTAACAGCTATTCATAGGATCTAATCTGTTTAAAATATGTACTACTTTCTTGTATGTTCTTTCTGGCATGGACCGAATGTGTGGTTCTATGCAATAATATCACTGAATTATTCCAGTTGTTTTTTTTTTTTTTTTTTCATTTTCTAATGTTATATAAAACATTTAGTCAACCAAAAAGGCAATTTAAGCAACCTCTGTGTGAAAGTTCAGTGTCCATTTAACTGTTGTATGGATTATAAACTATCTTCATCATGAAACCTTCTTTTTAAAAGTCCAACTTAAATATCGCAAATGTAAACATTTTGAATTCGCAATATTTAATTATAGAGCAAGTGTGGCTAACTATACGCATTGCAAAAATTGGGATTCCCATACTTTCTTTTAAATAATATGCCAATTATAGTATATTAATTACTTAAATGATCACAGTAAATATGCCTTTTAAATAACATATAATTTATGAAATATCTACTAAACGTGATACTTAAGGCATACAAATATGAATCATTATTTTAAAATCAGCGTTGAACTTCTACAATCATTATAAGAATTATTACGAGTGTGTGTGTGTGTGTGTGTGTGTGTGTGTGTGTGTGTGTGTGTGTGAGTGCGTGTTTACTATATTAATTGCAGTTAGTGTTTGTGATACAATTTTCGTATGAAGGGCTTTCAGAGGAATGTACATGCGAGTCATTCCATCATACAAAATTGATCGAACGAACGGCAATTGTCACTTACTATAGTATTTCAAGGAACTTGATTTGTAAACATTTAGTTATGTCGTTATAATTTCATATAAGAGTACCCCGCACGTGACAGGTGTGATCGACTCCAATCTTAAATGACAGGAATTGTCAGCTTTCCTCCCGATGATTGATGGTTCTCTCCGGGCACTCCGGCTTCCTCCACCAATAAAAACTGTCCGCCAATAGCGAATAGTGCTGAAAGACGCGTTTAACACCAATCAGTCAATCAATCATATACGAGTAAATCCTGCTTGTCGAGCTCGCTTCGAGTGCGGGGAGGGGGGGGGGGGGGGGTGGGGAGGTCTATAGTTCGATCTTAAGTCTGATCAAAGCATAGACCTGAAAGTTGTAGCTTCTTCGCTTGGCACACAGCTTTAAGAAGTAAGAAGGAAAACTAGTCGACGTGGAGTCCGATAGATTTAAAATATGCAGCCAGGTACGACATATTCAATAAAAGAAAAAAAAAAGGAATTGACTCGTTACGATAGTCTACAAGGGTATACTGAATATGATCCGTTTACTATCATATGACTAAGCACATACATAGACGAACAACAAACTCACGATTAGATTAATGATACACCTACAATGTACATGTAATACAAAACTACTTACAGATTGTTCTTTCGATTGGATGATTTTCTGCAATAAAACAATATCATTAACAGTCAATTAAATGAACATTTTCGAAATTTATATTATTGATAACATTAAAATATTATTCAGAAAAATAAATAACGAGTACAGAACAGTAAATATTTCAGACATTCAAGGCTCCTAGTTAAACACGCTAAGTAGTATTTAATGTTCTTTTGGAAAAATACTTGCATGACATTATAAAATTGATTAATTTAGTAAGTGGTATATCATAGGGCAATTTACAAGGTACAATTTGGTAATTTCAAATATATTATACTGAGTCTGAAATGTTTATTCCCTCCTACACACCTTGGTTCTGCATACAGAAGAAACTATGCAGTAAATAACATTTTACAGGTGTTCAATGCAATAAACATAATTTGAATAATCGCATTGATAAATACAATCCTTCATACTAAATGTCAGTAGACATTAGATCTACCGGCTTCTTCTCCAGCTACTTTGAAATGAAACGAAAGATATGACGATTGTGTCTCATAGTCATCTGTGTTAATCTTATATTTGTAATAATTCCGACTTCCTACCTGTATGCAGTGGGAAATCTAGTGGACGAAGATAATAGAAAATTCACTCTTCTTATGAAAAAGTCGAGAAAATCAATAATAAATCAATGCCGATGACGATACTGAGCAAACGTTATTTCTAAACAACAATTGCACATTTTAAAGAAGTTATTTGTTAAACTGTGTTATTAGAAATATACATGCAAATACACAATGTTTTATGTACAGTATTTATCGAGATAATTGCATTAGAAGCTTGTGAAACTGAAATCTAAAAAATGTTAATCTTTGCTGCATATTGATAAAACAAATTGGAAAAAGTCATGTGCATACAAAATTTAAAGATCTTTCGGGTCACCAATTTTTAGGTTTTTCCACAAAGTCCTTAATTTTCCAAAATATACTTATTTTTTTCACATTTAATTTTTCGAGTACACCGGTCTGCTCTTGTCACGTGAACATTCAATATAGAAATATTGTCTTTTCGTGAATATACCATTTTAAAGTCTGTCTGTGCAGGTTAAAAAATTAAAGATAGATATTTTGATAACGTAGGTATCTTTTTACTATTTTTCATACAATTTTAAGAAAAGGTCGTCTCGATGTTTGTAAACGTATTTGCGGTATTCTCGATCTATTCAAATTCAATGTTTGCATCGGGATACGGTCCGTTTGAAGTTGCTTAGTAACTTACTAGTAATTTCAAAAAGTGTTAATCTTAGCTGAATATCAATCGATTGCTTTGGAGTTTTTTCCCTGAACTTCTCTGATCTAGCTGCATATATATACGGATAATTAGCATGTTCTAGAGAGGTATAGAGTCAGTAGAAAAATAAATTGAAGTTGGTACATTTTTTGTATACCAGGAATTTATTCGCATAGCATCCTTTTATTCCAAATTTTCATCATGCTCCTATAGCCTGCTGTACTCGTCGTAAGCTATTTAAGGAGGGAAATGATAGCATTTGATGGAAGTTTTGTTTTTGTTTCAACTTATTTCTATTTTTACTACTTACCAGAGCGTTTTCCCGTGAATTTATAATTGATAGCGTCCTTGCTAAAACGGCACAAACATTGAAAAGATCTAGTTTTCAGTATTTACAGGGAAGGTAATATTTTGTCACTAGATTTCCCACTATACGTGGCTAACAAAACAATTGTCTTAAATTTTCCTTTTCTCGACTTTTCGGAACATACAGTAATTCTTTAGTAATATCAAAATAATTTTTAATAAACAATTAAGCATCTTTATTGAAAATAATGTTATCTTACCACATATTGGGATGTCGCAATACTCGAACCGCACGTTTTCATCTGTAGTGAAACACCATGGGCCTCCAGGATCCAAGTGTGGATTTCGACAATAGTTATGATTTCCTATCCACGTTTTATCGTGATTATGAGGAGTTTGTAAGGACCATTTCTGACAAATTCGGCCGCTTTTGGTGGTATTTATTGTCCCTGAATATACACTGTTCATTCCATCAGTTATACAATCTGCACCTGTAGAATCACAAAGATTTTTTTTTTTTTATTTTTTATTCGAGCGTCACTGATGAGTGTTTTGTAGACGGAACGCGCGTCTGGCATACACCATTTTAATCCTGGTATCTATGATGAGCTTATTAACAAAGATTTTTATATTATTGATAGCTTCGAATACATACGATAATTGTACAAGATGACAATATATTTATGTTATCAAATGATATGATCAAACTAGGCTGACAGGAGCATTTTTGTCCGGAATAAGGAAGCAGATTCCTGTAAATCGCTACACAAACGTATTACTTAAAACATTGTCTATATATTGAAAAACAGTAAAATGCAATATGATATTATGGTAAACACAGGAATAGAGAGTTAATGATAAATGTCAAAAAAACAAACAACGGAAAACGCTTTCCGGAATTCTGAAACTACATGGCGAGAATTCTATAGAACATCCGAGATTAGATTCTGCATGACGAGCAACTACTTGAAATTAGAGTAAGTTGATAAAATTTGTGAAGAAACTGCATACAAATTCAACATGGACGTTTTTACTCCAGAACTGTTAGTACTTCCTGCTTCTTGTAGTACACACAATCAACCATTTCAAACTTTTGAAACTAATAAACAACTCTTAACAATTGTGCATTCCATAATGAGATCAATTAATATTTTGTTTCTACAATGTATATCTACTAATAAAAGTGAGTATGCTCACTTTTTGTCAAAAATTACTTGTTTATCATTATTTAAAATATATTGCAATTGCATTTAAAAAATTTGTTCCATGTTTTTTATATGACTTGAAAGGGAAAACAATTCACTGCTTTTCCACATGTTCTTGTTATCACAGCAACAAGCGAGGCACATTAAATGTGTGCGTTTGTTTGTTGTTCGCAATGTGTCCCCCCCCAAAAAAAACAAAAAAAAAATTAATGCAACCAGACGTATCAATAGATTATTTCAGAGTATTAGAGTCAATCATCAACAAGTTGCTTCAGACCTGATAATGAATGTTGTTATATGGGTGGATTAAACGTAGAAATAAAAAAGTATATAGCTTTAAGAAGTGGTTTGTTCTTCATTTTTTCTAATCAGAGAAAAGCGATATATAATTCATTTTCTTAATGCACAAACAATTAAAAAAACAGTCTTTAGTTTGTTATATTGATAATATTTCCTTTATAAATGTAAGATTTTTAAAAACAATTTCAATGAAATGAAAATTAAAATTTGTCTTGGTTATGCCTTTGTTCTCTGATCACAATTACATGTGTGTATACTTGTATCTACATTTATTAGAAGTTACCCATTGTAACAATAGTTACCAATTATAACAATATTGTTCAATAGTATTCACTGCATAAACAATGTATCTGCATTCTGGTTTGCTTCATATATTACAATGGTGTCGTCAGCATCATTTACGTATGCCCTAAATAATTCGTCACTCATATTGCTTAAATTCTAACTTTAGTAAATTATTGTTTAGCTTATGCAATGTAGATATCTTCGTACTAAACGTTTAAGATAATTAAAATATTAAATTATATCAGTATCATTAATAAAGAATGCAGATTTATTAAGTTCGTTAACGGTATAAACCAAAATCGATCATTTCGTCATTTATGAACCCCTTTGGACGCATATTTATAGATTTGTGTATTTATTGTTGTTGCAAAAGACATTCCCTGCAATTATATGATCTCTTGAATTCAACACAGATGATACCAATGAACTTTGATTTAATAGTATTTGAATAACCTGACCATTTTTTAACCAACGACTGCTATTCCTTCTGGACCTTCTGAGTTTATCTATAATTTTATTTTGTCGGTCGCTTCTTACTTACTCTACATGTTCACGTGTTCATTATTAAACGATTGTTACTTCTTTGATTTTTGCTAACAGTTTAATGTCTTAGAAGTATTACCAAAATGTACAAAGGAAAAATATGAAAGAAATATAAAAAATGAAACTGCTAAACAATAAAAGCGCATATTTAGCTTAGAAATAATCAAGAATTTTGAAAGTAATCCATATTGTAATATGTCCATAATGATACATTGTATATTATTTGTCTATCTGATTAAAGCTTTTAAATGCTTGATATCTAAATGTAATTATGTATTACTTTAAAGTTTGTAGATTTAACAGAAATTCATGTCCCAAGTGTATCAGGCATAATTGACCATTGACAGTTTTTTTGTTATTTTATTTAGATACTTTGATTACATTACTCCCTGTATATTTGTACATCTTTTGCTGTTAAAGTTATTGGATACGAACCTTTTTAATAAAGTTGAATTCAGAAAATATATTCGATAACAGCAAATATGATATGTTTGAGTTTGATTTACTTTTAATGGGTTGATGACCGATCATCAATCCTGATGGTTTATCGCTCCGGTAAATTTTCCTTTATCTTTTACATTGATCTCTTACGGGATTTTGTAAAAAAGAAATATGTAATTTTATTTTTGTTTTTTTGCAAATAATAATGTCCCTTCTAATACTGTCAAACGTACGAAGACTTTCTGTCCTTATCGTGCGGTTATTAAAATATGTAAAGACAGGATATCGCAATTAATAGGAAGGGCAAATGTCCCCTGTATTTATTTCACGCAAAAGGTAAAAAATCTATAAGTAATCAAAATTCTATTGGAATTCTTATATTAACGAGTTATTATGATATGTTAAATAAATCAATATTTCTTTAACATTTCAATAAATTCAAAATATTATTCAGCGCTATATAATGCTCTTGGAGGCATTTTGACGAAAATTGCACCTTTTATATGTATTGTGTAACATTTGCATCGAAGGACGTATCTAATCAAAATGAATTAATTTATATCAGGGAAACAACATACAACTTAACTTACTTCCAACAGAATTCGATTTTGTTAAAAAAAAATGTCCTTTTTATAAATGTTTTGGATAAGCACTAAGAATTTTCAAACATTTGTCAATTCCGGCTTTGGTCTATCTGCAAGTTTTTCTAATCTAGAAATCAGCCTTAATTTTGTTGGAACATGAAACTACATAATTATTATATGGAGCTGAGATACTGTGAAATGTAAAACATTAAAAGACTTTTTTTCTAATTTCCCTGGTGCGGAATAAACTTAGCGGAGATTAGCCCTAGCTCTTTATTAACAAGGATTATACAATTTTATGAACTTATTTATTGAAACTTTTCTAAGAATAAGCATATTTATAAAAATGTCATAACATGTACTTCTGTTATTTGATGTCATTCGATGAATTGTTGCTCCATTTGAAACAAAACAAAACTTGCAATTAGGACAATAAATATAAATATACTTAATGTATCAAAATGGTCTCGATCATACCGGCAGATCATTTTAGTGATCTATATTACAACTGATACATGAATAATGCTACAATTCAGTATAATAATGAAATGTCTTACCTTTAAAGTCGTCTAGTGGCATAATGAAAGATAAACCATATCTAAAAAACATAGATGAAATAAAAATATTGGTAATTATGGACATGGTTAAATCAGCAAGCTGCTGCAATCCTCATCAACTTTGATAATTGGTGCATATTGACACTCACAGTTTAAGATCTTATATAATTCCTGAATAATACATATCACGTGGGCATTTAATAATTAGTTTCAACACGAAATTACAGGCAATTTAACGGCATATAATAGCCTACATCATTATCCGGTAAAGCTTCTGGGACATATTCTTAATCGTTTCAATTGAGATTATTAGTCCATTAAACTTGTTGCTATTCAAATTAATATTTTTAGAATAGATTGTGAAAAAGCGAAAATTTTTATTTCTTTACAAATAATGTCTACACAGAAATCAGAAAAAATCTATGAAACAATTGTTTTAAAGATAAAAGGCTGTGAAATTTAATAGCTAGAAGAACATTTTAATCTGTTTATGGCTTGTACAATATGAGGGGAAACTGACAAAGTGTCTTTCTTTGTTACATCTGAATTATTGGTTGATCGATTTGTTTGTTTACTTTACGTCATTTGGCAACTATTTCATGAAAAATCAGGAAAAAAACCCAACTTAAGGGAGTTCGCTACTCAGTTTCAAAATAACAAGCTTTTCATATTACTAGTATATATTGATAGGGGATTAATAAAGGAACAAAAAGAGCAAAAATAAAATATAGGTCAATGTGCTTATTTTCGAGATATAAGCCATTGAAATTTTTGCGGGAAAATATTCTCTCTTGATTTTTCATAGCTTTATCATTGACAAGTTAAAGTTCTCAAAAACTATTAAAAAATAATTAAGATTTTATAAGACTTTAACAGATGGCTTATAATTATGCATGTAAAAGATTTTTAAACAGAAAAATGGGGGTCAATGGGCAAAATTTTTGAAGGCATTCAAATAGATAAAACCAGAGGATTCCGAAAATCTGACAAAAATTCCAAAACATGACAAGCGAACTTCCTTAAAATGCAAAGTTGATCGACCGGGATGAAAGCTGAGAAATATACACTGACACTGATAAAAGAGGGTAATACTATGATTGGTAAGTATTGAAATTCTGCCTTGCAACATGCAACCTACGGACCACTTAGAAAGGTTGTTGCAAGTCTGAAAGTTCTTTTACATTTGTATGTGCAGAAATTGTGGCACTTTGCCTACTCGAATTTAAAGTCTCCTTTCTGTACGGACGTGGCAGCGAAATGTTATATTCCAAACAGCCGCAAGGAAGCACCTCTTTACTATGGGATTAACGTCTTTAAGGAAGTATTCTTCTGAGGTTTCAGTCTCGTTGAAATCTCGTTCGGGAATATTTCAAAGACATGTGATAAAAGTGGAAAATATCAATGAAAATAAAAAATTATCATAATTAAACTAAACTCTGTGAAAAAATTGTGTACTTACAATAAGTAGTTTTTGAGTAATAAAAATTCAAAAATTTTATAACCAATCTGGTATCATCAGCCAAAATGTTGAGAAAATAGGCGAGGGTACACAGAATTGATTTTACCAAAGATATGTACATCCCATATCATTTTTTTTCTTTTCAAAATTCTTAGATATGTATTGTTTCAATCATTTATAACAAAGAAGTTGAAATAATATGCGTTTTATTCTAAAAAAATGAGAAAAATCCCAAAACAAAATTGACAGCATGGTAAATTTGACACGAAAAATCAACAAAATTTTATAAAACTTTCTAATATTAACACCAACCTATAGGTTTTTTTTAGTTAAATTTATTCAGATGGGTCCAGTTCATCTTTAGTGAAAGTATGAAAAAAAGTTTAATTGTGATTTTTTCATGATAATACTAGCCCAAAAATGGGTAAAAATTGATGAAAAATGGGAAAATCATAAAAAATTGGTACTTTCAAATGGCTGTAGAAAAAAAATGCAGTGCACCACCATATGATTTTTCTTCATCAAAAACTTTCTCACAGTCATATAAACCCAAAAATCAGGTTAAGAAAACAAGTTAAATCTAGAAATTTTTGACTCCTGAGAGGTGTGCATCCTTAAGAAGTCCAGGTGAGCATTGTTCTTTTCTCCAAACAATGTATGCTAGCTGAACATCCTATTTAAACATAATTTGACTAAATAATGAAAAGGTCAACTTGTTACTACTTTGTATTTGAGATACATACGAAGATTGACAAAAAACACAACATTACAATCTCATATTGTCCGTTTCACATATCGGTTTACAATTTTATAACATTATTGCAAAAGAGAGGCGAAAGATACCAAAGGGCTATTCAAACTCATAAAGTCGTAAATAAATTGACAATGCCATGGCTAAAAATGAAAAAGTCCAACAGACAAACAACAGGACACAAAACACAACATAGAAAACTAAAGACTGAGCAACACGAGCCCCGCCAAAAAGTAGGGCTGCTCTCAGGTGCTCCTAAAGGGTAAGCAAATCCTGCTCCACATGTGGCACCCGTCTAGTTGCTCATGTAAGTCTTATTAGATAGTCACAAATGTTTGAAAAAAAAAATCATATTTTATTTTTTTTAAATCGTAACTTATGAACCTCATAATAATAGTACATTAACAGCTGTGTTGCTATGAGTTTTTTCGACTAAAACGGTGGAAACTTGGGTTTATCTCTTCAAATATATCATTTTTGTCATGCATAAATTCATTGATACAAGTATGAGCTACTAAAACCTTAACCAAAAAACCTTGTTAAGATATTTGAGTCCATTCAAGTAGGATATACGGTACTATAGTTTAGGCTTTTATAATAAATTTATACGCGTATGTATTCATGGGCAATAAAGGTATTTAGATTATACAATGAAAAAAATAAATGACTGGTCCCCACCGTAGACAGGTTGACATGTCGACAGGTTGACACTATGTTAAAAATGTAAATTTTTTTATGGTTGCACTGGTTGACAGGTTAACAAGTCGACAAGTTGAAAATGTGAAAATGTAAATATTTTTATGGTTGACTGGTTGACAGGTTGACAGGTTGACAAGTTGACAGTCGACAGGTAAACAGTTATAAGTCAAGACTTAATAAAAAAATAATAAATTTAATATAGTTAAAATTGAAGTTATGGTTGACAAGTCGACAGGTTGACAATTTGAAAGAATTTATATAGTGTAAAATAGTATTATTGGTGACTGGTAGACAGGTCGACAAGTCGACAGGTTGACAATTTGACGGCGAAAAATGAAAACTGTAATAATGGTTAACATGTTGACAGTCGACAGGTAGACAGTTATAAGTCAAGACTTAATAAAAAGGTTAAAAAACTGAATTGTAAAAATAAAACCTGTCAACCTGTCAACCTGTTAACCATTACACTTGTTAACCTGTCGACCTTAACACTTGTCAACCAGTCAACCTGTCGACCTTTTCACTTGTTGACCTGTCGACCTTAACACTTGTCAACCTATCTACTTTCACACTTGTCGACCTTTCTAGTGTCAATCTGTCGACCTGTTAGTCTGTCAACCTATGTACACATAAACCGATTAACTTCATAAGTTAAACCGAATTACCCCTCTGTTTTTCCGATGGAACTACAGTACGGTTTATCCTACTTGACCCGTTTTATTTATAACTGGGATTTTCTTTCAAGATATACAAATACATGTACCAGGGTATGAGTAGGTGAATCTATCACACGATTCCCATTGTGCAACATGAACTATATTCTCAGAAAATGTGCGTTTTGAGTAGGGGGAAGGATATGTCCTATGTGTACTTAACATTTGTATGAAATGTTTGATGGGTAAAACAGATAATGGTTATGATGATGACGGTTAAAAGACAGTTTGAATATGGCCATGGTGTAAAAAAAGTTCGTGGAAGCTTGGACGTTTCTCTTAAAGTTTATACATGTATTAATAATTTTGTCACACATTAAAACATTGATAATAATTTTAATGTATCAGTTACTAAATATACATTTACCCCAAAACCTTGTTAACAGATTTGTGTCCATTAGAAATAACTGGGAAAATCTTTTTACAAAAACATACATCAGAGTGTTAGAAGGTGAATCTAGCACACGATTCAATGAGCGTAATATGAACTGTATTCTCAGAAGATGTGCGTGTGAATGTTAAAGTACATGTAGGGCACAACGATGACGACAACAACAACGACGACAGCAACGACGACAACGACGTCGACAATGAAGACAAAGTCGATGAAAATAAATATGATGAGTCCAGTAATTTAAACCAACTGTACGTCACAGAGAATGGTAGAGCCCTAGACAAAACATTGATAGTTGTTTGCCTTACGTTCAGATATCAATATCTCATGCATATTCAGGATTATAACAAATTAACAATGCATACAATAGGTAGGTTCTGTCATAGGGGTGTTCCGGGATGAATTACGGGAAAATTGGACTGCCACTAAAAATGAGGTAGGTTCGATAGGGACAGCAATTCAGCCTCGAAAAGGTCGTCTGCGGACTCCTCAAAGAATTGTTGCAATGGATCTTAATTCGCAAACAAGAGCGTGACACTCTTTGTCTTTGCGAGGCAGCGAATTCCATTCTGACCGGACGTGGCTATGTTTTTATACATCCAGCACAGCCGAACAGATGCTGGTTTGAAGAACACCAGAAGTGACCATATTTCTATTTCCAAGTCACCCGTGTGGTATCGCGTACCTGGTATTTGAAAAAAAAAACTCCAGTATGTTTAAATGGCATTCTTTAAGAATTGGTACCAATGTTTTGTGAGGATCTGGGTAAACTTTTAAGCTTACCATATAAAAATACTTTGTCGCTGGACATTACATTATTTTTTTATCGTTGAACATGTATAATCAGATTTCAAAGGACACAACTCGGAAAGCACAAACGCACAGACATTGTCTGTAGTGTAATTCCTAAGTGATGATAGGCATGTGAACATAGCTTTCTTAGTAATCATTGTTTTTCACTGAATTTATAATTGCATGCATTTTGTATATTATTAAGCCGAAGAATCATTGTACATATAGTACTCGTAACGGTAAAGCCTGAG